CACACACACACAAGAGAAGGCGGCCCGGAATCCCTCCACAACACAACCCAGAAAAACAGGTAGCCTCTGGGACCATTACCCAGGTTATGGTGCAGGAGTTGGGAATTATAGTCCAGTAGCAGAATTGGCCGAATCCTGACCGCTGCTCTGACATTCCCCAACACTGGGAACGAAACAAATTAAGCCCTCACCGCCTTGAAAACAAACCAACCTAGAACTGCTGGTTTAAAGTTTAAGCCACCAGTCCCAGTACTTCGGGGGTACCTCTCCAATCCAGTGGTCCAGGACCGAGTGACCACTCAAATGAGGATGCTCTTACCACCTCCAGTAGTTGGAGCTGCACACTGTCAGATCATGTTTCTGTTAAAAAACAGAACAAAAAGGGGAAAGAAGGTAGCTCTCCACTTTAATCTTGGACTGAGGGACCAGGAGAACCACCCAGAAGGTAAGCTCTCTACTTTACTAGTAGACAGCGCCATCATGATGGGACTCGAAAGACCAGTACACCCGGGGCGAGGTCCCACTAGCAAAGAGGATTGGCTTGAACACGTCACTCTGGACTTGTTTGTGGAATAGTGCAGCAAAACCGAGATCTAACTGCTTTTCTGCATCTCCGCGTACAACGCGTCCAGGTTCAGGCATTCAGTCCAATCCTCTTTGCTAGTGGGACCTCGCCTCTGGGTCTGGTGGGCCTTCCACTCGCACCAAGCTTTTCCGATCAGCGCACTTCTTTTCTGTTTTGGCTGGTGGCGCCAGCCATTCTGGTCCGGTCATGGTAGCCCCAAGACTCTGAAATTTCCGTACTAGGTGATGAAAGATTTCTCCAGTACAAGGCTGGGGCTCTGTACTTCCGGTCTAAAAGGTAGCTCTCCACTCTTAAACCACCAGTACTTGGCCCAGCTATCGATGCCGAGCCTGGAATGCCCCTGCGCGCCAATTTTCGACAAAGCGCCGGGGTACCATTTCAAAAAAAAATTGGCTGGCCCTTCCAGCCATTGTGGTCCGGTACCCCGAAGCCCTAAAGGCGCGGCGCGTTAAAGGGAAAGCGCCGCGGCAGATAGCTGGGCCAAGTACTGGTGGTTTAATTAGCGGACCAAGCGACAAGGATCGGACTTTACCGGACAACTTCAAGGCGTTGTAGCTCAGTTGGTTAGGGCGCTGGAACAGCCTGGGGGAGGTGCGTTTGACTCTGGCCGACCGTCATCCACTCCTGTGCGTTTGACTCTGGCCGACCCTTGTCCTCAGCCTGGGGGAGTCGGTGTTAGGTTGGTTGGCACCCCACGTACTTGTCGCGCAGGGGTGGCACAAGTTCAGATCAGCAGCTATGATACTATGCACGGGGGATTTGGGGGATTGTTAGGGGGCAAGGGACTTTCCCATGGAGCACCCTGGGGGAATGGGAAGCACAGAGGGGGTTAGGGCATTGGGGAGGGGAGCGTCGTTCTACCAAGGCATCATCATGGAGTGTGGTGAGTGTAGGGGTTGGGTGCAGAGTGGAGGCATGTCCTACCTTGAGTCGAGGGAGCAGGATCCGCCCCTTCCCTACCGTTAGTCGGCAGGCAGGGACCCTGCTGAGTAGGTGGCAGGGTAGTAGAAGTAGCTTTGACAAAGAAACCCATGTATTGAAGTGCATGCAGAGAACATTGGCCATATGCAGACTTACATATGAGGCTACCATCTTCCCCCACGGCAAACGTAGCCTGATGATGAACGTATACGAGCTATCTTCCCAGTCCGGTACGGCCATAACGAGGGTGCATTGTTCCTAGGGAAGACGGCAGGGCCTTGGGCCACGTGGATTGGATTGACATACAACTATCGGGCGTAACCCCAGTGCAGAGTACAGCTTATACATACAGTAGGTCCTGGATACATAGGGGGACGGTGGACCCGGTTCGGAGCAGGGGCATCTCCCCACCTGTAGATGGACCCTTCAACATAGGGGAGGGTGCTCCTATCACCCCATTAACTGGAACCCGCCTGGCTTGAAGCCAAAAAGAAAAAGAACAAAACAACAATGTGGAATAAGCACAACTCCGCCGACTGCAGACCAGCCAAGAGATGAGCATACAAAGCCAACATGCAGCTCTCATCACGATTAGTAATAATAACAACATATATGGCTGTGTCAGGTGAAAAAAAAAAAAAAAAAAAAAAAAAAAAAAGGTGGGACGGGTCGTCGTACTTACGACGAGTCTCCCATAGGTTAGACCTGAAAAAAAAAAAAAAAATCTTCGCCTTGAAGGACCAGAACATCTGTGCCTCTTTTGTACTAGGTGGATTTCCCGCTGCATGCCAAGCTTTGCCTTTTCTGAGTGCCAAGCTTTTTTTTTTCCTGGGGAGGACTGATCTGTGGATGGCTTCAATAATTCAATTCCCCTTTCCCACAAGCCAAATTTCACCTACCAAATCACAGTTGCTGCAAGTATAAAAAATGGGAATTCAGCTACCCCCAATTTCTCATTGTGTTTGAGGAAATGCATGTTTTTGATTTTTTTTTCGGTTGATGGGATCCACCAAAGTTGTTTTTTCCCCCTTCTTTGTAGTGGTCAACTGGTTATTAGAAAGGGAGAAATAATATCATTTGAGGTATTAAACAAGGAAATGAAATTAAGAATAGTTCAATAATGTCAATTAAGATATTTATTTATAATATTGATGCGTTCGCCCTCGTTGATGCAGGACTTACATTAACCCACCTACAATAGCTCCTCCTATTTACGGTGGCGGCTATGGAGGCGGTTTCTTTCCATTCGGCGGATATGGCTATTCTCCGTTCGGATATGGATTCGGTCCAGTTATTGGCATTCAGGGAGGAGGAGGATTATTTCAGTTCATGTTTTTCATCTTCGTTGCCAATTTCGTCTTCAACTTCATCCGAAACCTGACGGACAGAGATGAGGATTGAACCACTTTTCACTTCCCTCTCTTCCTTCTCTTCTTTTCCATTCTTCCGTCCTTCGTCGCACACTCTTAGCACCTGCTCTCTCCCATTTGCTACGTTCATCATTTCCCACTCCTTTGTTTCATTCCCTAACTCCGCACCTTACACACGCTGACCACCTGCTCTCCCCCATTTCCTTGCTTCATCATTTCCCTCTCCTTTCCTTTGTTTCACCCTCCCCCCCCGCCCCCCCTTCCCCTCTTACAATGCCATATGTTCATTCATCCTCTCCCTCCCCATCCTTCTTCCGTACCCGTTCCCACCTATCACCTCCTTCCTGTCCTTACCCGTCTGTATTTCCCTCCCGTATAATGCCATACACTCATTCTTCTTTTCCCCACGCTTCCCTACCATTCCTACCCTACCCTTCCTCTTCCTTTCCTACCCTTCCCTATCCTTCCGTACCCTCCTTTACCCTTTCCTACCCTTCCCTACCCTTCCCTTAACCCGTTCCCTACGCTTTCTCCTCCTTTCCTTTGTCACCCCCCCCCTTCCCCTCTTACAATGCCATATGTTCATTTTTCCTTCCCTCCCACGCTTCTTCCGTACCCTTCCCCACCTATTACCTCCTTCCTCGCCCTATCCGTCTGTCTTCCCCTCCCCTATAATGCCAAATGCTCATTCTTTTCCCTACCATTCCTCTTCCTTTCCTACCCACCCTTCCTCTTCCTTTCCTAGCCTGTATGCCCTTCCCTTATCCTTCCCTACCCTTTCTCCTCCTTTCCTGCTCTTCCCTACCCTTCCTCCTCCTCTCCTAACCTTCCCTACCCGTCCTCTTCGTCTGCTACCCTTCTATACCCTTTCTCCTCCTTTGCTACCCTTCCCTACCCTTCTCGGTCTTTCCTAGCCTTCCCTACCCTTCCCTACCCTTCCTCGGCCTTTCCTAGCCTTGCCTACCCTTCCTCTTCATCTCCTAACCTTCCCTACCCGTCCTCGTCATCTGCTACCCTTCCATACCCTTTCTCCTCATTTGCTACCCTTCCCTACCCTTCCTCGGTCTTTCCTAGCCTTGCCTACCCTTCCCTACCCTTCCTCGGCCTTTCCTAGCCTTCCCTACCCTTCCTCCTCCTCTCCTAACCTTCCCTACCCGTCCTCTTCATCTGCTACGCTTCCATACCCTTTCTCCTCCTTTGCTACCCTTCCTACCCTTCCTCGGCCTTTCCTAGCCTTGCCTACCCTTCCGTACCCTTCCTCGGCCTTTCCTAGCCTTGCCTACCCTTCCCTACCCTTCCTCCGCGTTTCCTATCCTTGCCTACCCTTCCCTACCTTTCCTCCGCCTTTCCTACCCTTTCCTACCCTTTCCTACCCTTCCCTACCCTTCCTCTTCCTTGCTTACCCTTCCCCACCCTTCGCCTACCTTCATTTGTTCATTCAGCCATCCAGACGTGTGATTGCAATTTTTCAGTTTCAAGTTTGGAGATCGGAGCTACATTCATTATGCAAAGCTTTCTATGCAAGCGCCTTCAGATACGGGAGCAAGCTTTTCTGCAAGCCCATTCAGATACTGGAGCAACTAAAGGGATGTGATTAAGGTGTTCTCTTTTGGATGTTTCTGATGCTTGCTTCATTTGGAAGGGGCTGAAAATTTCCTTCCCTTCCTGATGCTGTAAGGGTATACCCGGTCTAGGTAGTAAGATTTTTTTTTTTTTTTTTTTTTTTTTGATAGGAGCATACACTCCTACCTGACGCTGTTGGATGTTTTTGGCACTTGCTTGATCGAGACTCTTGGAGCAGCTGAAGCTGAAGATTTTCTCCACTTCCTGATGGCGTCAGAGAGGTGGTCCTTTCCCTCGCTACTCTTAGAAGTATAGGAGTTGGCCCCCAAGGAATAGATAGACACTCGCCGGCCGCAGACTAGTGTATATATAGTATATACAGTCACTATAAAAAGAAGCCACAGCCAGGAGTTGGCTCCCAAGGTAATAGGAGGGTGGGGCCCTCTTAGACGATGAAGAAGGGCAGAAAAGGTGTTCTTTCTCTAAAAGAAAAGGGAAATCCTCCTCCTTTCTTGCACAACCTTTCCCTTTTTTCGGAACTCTGAAGGCCGTGTATCCTTCAGGGAAATGAGGCCACATTCACTGCAGGACTCTTTCGCCTAAGCTCCTGGACGTGATGGCAGTCCGATTCATATAGGTCTAGGTGTAATTATAGTCCCATACATTTATGATAGTTTACTGTGAGAGTATGCCCGCAGACTAATGTGTAGAAAAATGGCGCGTGGTCCGGCACATTTATGTTAGTTTAGTGTTTTTTTTTGTTTTTTTTTTTAATGATAGTTCACTCACTGCGGGACTCTTTCTGCTAAGCTCTGGAGTCTGGGCGTGATCGCAGTCAGAGTCATCCAGGTCTAGTAGGCATAATTTACAGTCAAATACATGTTATGATTCTTTAGTGTGAGTATGCCCTCCAGACTATATGTATAGAAATGGTGGGGGGGCTCAATTACATTTATGATAGTTCAGTGCGAGTATGCCCCCAGTATATATGTATAGAAAAAAAAAAACAAAAAAAAACTGCTCTTTCCAGGCTTGGCTCCCTCGGATGCACTTGGACGATGTTACGATGTTTTTGGTTTTCGGAGAGGCTGTGTATACAATACGACCAATAGAAACTTCAAAGAAAAGAACCATTTAAGAATCAGATCATAGTGTTCGTAGGAGAAAAAAAAAACAAAAAAAGCTCATAGAAAAGCATGGTGTCACTGGTGTGTGGCACTCGTTGGCGTGTCGAGGAAGAATCGAGGAATATAATCCAAATATATTTCGTATCGGAACAATTCAGACGAGGGGAGGGGGGTTACAATGTGATATCACTTATTATACAATTGCAAAAGGTAGTGTCACTTCTAAACACCCTCAACTCATGCTCCGGATATATTTTGTTCCCTTCTGTCTTCTTCTTCTTCTTCTTCTTGTTTTTGCATGTGTTTTTCATAGATGAACATCTAATCAAGAATGAAATTATGTTTTTCAGAGATGAACATCTGATCAAGAATGACATTAGGTTACCAAACTTGTCTTTTTTTGTCTTTTCAGTCCTTGTAAGTTTTAACTGATTTCAGGTCTTTTCACCCATGTTCTTTCAAATTCTTTGTCACCTCTGTTTGTTGAATACACAAAGCAAAAGACACTCTTGAAAATATGGAATTAATAATCCGAATTATATTATTATAATTATTATTCATTTATGAGTAATTTATTATTATTATAAAAAATTATAATATTGTTATAACTTATTATTTTAAAGCTGAATTCTCATCGGGGCAAAGGCATATAGTTTTCTCTCACCTCGCATATTTTTTTAACTGGCGTTCGGCCAGGTAATGGAACGTACCTTGCTTTCACTACCTAGCCACCTACCTACCACTACTCCTAAGGCCATTCAGGGGACCCCTGCAAGCATAGCCGACTACGTCTCTTCAGTGAAGGGAGGTTACCTCTCTCAATGTGGAGAGAGGTAACGGCATGTTTGCCCCTCTGCCCTGGCGTTTAGGGTATTACATTCTCTGTTTTGTTCCAGTTTCAGCAGATGTCAGGAAGGACACATATGGATTTGTCACTTTTGCTGCAGCTGTGTGTGGTGTTGAGCTGTGCAGTGTGCGACTTACCATTAAATATGAAACATGGGGGGATAAGAAAAACATTTTGAACTGATGCTCAATCATTTTTTATTTTTTTTCTGCCCAGCAGTAATATAATAAATTAATAATCAGTTTCATAAATTCGACAAAAGAGTAATTGTCGGCATACCCCATCCAGGAATTTCCTAAAAAAACTGCCTGAGCCTGCCTGTGCATGAAGGGACTTATTACCACACATCCAAGTGCGTAGTTAAAATTTGGCTTAAATCACCAATTCCCAGCCGTGCACTGTTTCATTGTACAGCAGTACACCGCGAACGGGCCTAGGCCGTTCGGCATAGGCCTGGTAAAGGCTTGGGAGCCTTCGTCCGTTGAACCCACCAATAATGAAGTGGCGGCCTACGGGGTTCAAAAATAGGGTGGAAACAGAGGCTGGTCTCATCAGTCCCTAGCGGCTCAAAGAGAGAGAATTGTGAGTAAAGACAAAAAAAAAATGCCATTGCTCTCACCCAGGGGTTCCACTTCAGAAGAAAAAAAAAACACTCCCACCATCTGCCTTTTGTCTTTTTTGTTTTTCAATGGAATGTTTTTTTTTTTTTTTTTTTTTTTCAGAGAGAGAGAGAGAGAGAGAGAGAGAGAGAGAGAGAGAGAGAGCAAGTTACGGCCATCTGTTGCCCCACTGCTGGGCAAACTTGTCGGGGTGACGGATGCAGGTCTTGTATCCTCCCTTCTATCAGGGGAAGATTGACTATGAGACCTGCATCCGTCACCCCTACGAGTCTGCCCAGCAATGAGGCAGCCGTTGCTCTCTCTCTCTCTCTCTCTCTCTCTCTCTCTCTCTCTCTCTCTCTCTCTCTCTC